AATTTTACACTTTATTCTGTAAAATAAACACTTTACTATGTAAATATACTTGTCAAAATTTCTAAGTCCCCACTTTTATTATTTTAGGTATTTAAAATTCTTAACATTAATTAACTAGTTGTTCACAATTTTGACTTAATTTTTCGATGATTTCCGGTTACGGCCAAAGAAATTGAAATCGAATGTGTAATTACTCATCCATGACCCTTTTTGTTAAAAAGCATGAAGTGCGGGTTTCATATGTTTTCGGGTGTATCTTCCATTTATTTAAATTGCCATGTGTTCTCCATCTTTAGTTGTTTAGGAAAAACAGAAAAAAGCTTGTTTAAAATGCCGTGTATGTACGAACGACAATGTGCAAGTGAAGTTGCCATGGTCCAAGCTGGTGTTAGCAAAGGAAAGTTGTATTTCCTTCGTTTGTATTTGTTTATTTTATGTAAAACCGTTAAAATACCGTCAGGAATATGCACAAAGCTTACTTGTATTCCTTATAATCATTAAAAATTGCTAGATTTTCAAGAAATACCACTTAACCACCCTAGAGTTTAACCGGAAATTCACTCAAACCGGAACCGGAAGTGCCCATGGTCAAGGCGTACACACGTACTGCAACGACACATCAACAGGGCTACTACATTAGAATTACTAAGTATTGTGGAAGGAACCTATCTGCACGTGCAATTGCTCTGCACTCATTAAAATTAATTCAAGTCTCCTTAATTATCCAAATTATTAGAAACAAACTGGAAAAGTGGGGAATGCGTTTAAGAAGACGTTATGTACTGTAGGATTAATATTGGGTACAAACAATTTCGGTAAGCTTCAATGTCATCCACATCTCAACCCTATAGAACATGAACGGGACAAGATGGACCAGAGATTGAGCGCTTTTCCAGCAGCAGAATCTGGTGGAAATATACAGGACGACCTAGTCTATATATGGAATAACCTTCCATAAAGATTTTTCTTTAATTGTTTGAACTCTTTGAGAAGCAATTGTCTTGTTCTTAATTCGTTTGCATGAAGGATGAAAACAGTATTGAACGTTGCGAATTTTTAATTCTAGGGTGCCTTCACTCTTCTGCATTTTGTGTTAAAGTCCTTCGATATAATTAGATTAAATGAAAAAAAAAAATTTTGCTTCTTTTTATCCTGTATAGATTTCAATTTATATTGTCTGAATTATTTAATATAAATGCATTGTTAAACAAAAACTTGCATCGGGACTTAGAAATTTTGATTAGTATATTAACATATTCAAGTATAAATAATAGATCTCATAAAGAGATCCTATATGAAGGATACGGATATATCTACGCTGTAATAGTTTTTTTTCTAACTGATCTTCAATTACAGATAGATAAAATGGCTACAAAAGTTTTTGAATCTCTTTTTATCTTATTTACACTGTTGATGTTGCATATTATGTTACATGTACATACGAGTTTAGGTATTCCACAACAGGATTTCGGTACATGTCGACTGGATATTTTTCTGGTGCTTCAGGAAGATATTACATATAGTATTGGGACAAATATGAAATATATGGCTCAAATTCCAAATGCTTCAACGATTTTATTTTAAATCTATAGGTCAGAAATTAAAAGATACCTCCATAAACAATACGTGTGTTCTATACAAAATTTACAATTTTGAATTTAAATTGTCATATACATACATACATTCAAAATGTTGTATACAGGACACATGTATTGAAAATTAAACAACGTCAAAAATCACCTATATCAATGTATATTGTTAATTTGTTGTTTCAGAACCTATCAAGAATTTCATAAGTATGTTCAAATTTGTTTAAATAGACTAGCAATGATGCCATAAACAATTTCTCAACATGTACGAGAAGCATTTTAGATAAATTTATTTTTCAAGCTTTTGTTAAGCTTTTTATAACAAAAGAGCATTTTGGGGGGGAGGAGGGAGGGGGGATTATGTCTATGTTCTCCGAAGAAGGATTCCAGTGAAAGTTGATTGGAGATTTGATCCAATACCAGTACCGCCACCATACACATATCCATCTGAACCAAAATCTGTATCCAGACATGATCATCTTTGTTCACATTTATGATCACCATTGCTGAACTGGAGTCTGCCCCTCCAGGACGAGGCACATAACTTGAAGCGCGAGATGTACCTCCGACTATCAGCTGGGTATAAAATTCACTACCTCCATTAGCTATGGTCCAGTGGAACATGTAGATGCCTGTCTGGGGAGCAATGAAGATTCCGTCCTCTGTGTGATAATGGTTTCCGATGTTGATGTACGTCTGATCAAATCTTATGATTGTTCGAGTACTGATACCGCTAGTAGATGAGGATTTGTATGCCGAAAAAATGATTGGGTCTGTTTGATCGACCAGAACTCCTATAGATGAAATGAAATTTCACAGAATTTATGTTTTGAAAATGCAATGGATCTAACCCTAATTATATTTTTGAAATTTGTTACAACAAACCAGTGTCGTTGTCAATGTATATTAATAAAGCATTTATTTAATAATTTTATTATGTTATGCTATAGACCTATTTTCTACATGTTTTTCCTGTTTGGAAAAATAGACAATCATAGTTTATCTTACCATTTCTCAGGGAAAGAACATCCAATGATGAAACATCGGCATCACTTCTCCCTGTCAGTAGCTGTCCTAACACTCTCTCTGTGACGTTCAGTCGTTGTTCCGTCGTCTGCTCCAGTCTAGATAGACGTTCCTCGAGACTAGTCAAATTCCGGCTTTTCAGGAGGGTGGTCAGTTCAGCCGTGGATACTATGGTAAAAAGAAGAGGCAGATGATAGAGAAGCATCTCTGGTGGTAATAGCTGAAACTATTTTTTTACGTTTCCTTTAGTGTCGCTACGCAGTTCCGTGCTAGAATATTAGAGATTTAAACATAAAGCGCTTTTATAGATATGTATATTTTAGCTCACCTCTTCACTCGGCATAGCAGACTACTTTGGCAAATAGTAATATCCTTTTCGAAAGGGGGATTGCAGAAATCTCGTGTTTGTCGTTGGAGGAGGGGGTAATTTCCAACTATTTTCAAAACCAAATTTCATTCAAACACATTATCAAATTACTTTTTAACTCTTCTGCAACAAAAAGGGGGAAAAATAACCAGCTTTTTAATGATTTTAACAATTAAAACAGGTTATGTCTGGAAGAAATAATGGAGGTACCTATCCCCGATACAATACACCTGCTGCTGATTTACATATTTATGTGTACTTGTCGCGAAATGGTTGATTTGATTTCGATCAATTAAAATCATTGCAAAATTCTACATTTATGCTAGTATTTTGGCCGATATAATATATTTTTCAGTCATTCGTCTTATTTATTTGAAGTTTAACACGTGTCCTAATAATTTTCTACAAAAGTGATATTTTGATTTAATTTAACTAAGGTACTACCCAAATAAATATATTAACTATTTTGAACAACTCTCTGAGAATTAAAACATTAAACTCTAAGCCCCCTCTCCCTTTTTGTTGCTTGTAAATTTTTTGTTCTTACAATAACATTAACGATTCCGTTCATACAGGTTACTAAAATAGGCCAACGTGTTATAAAAATGTCGTTTACTAATTGATAATTTTCTTAAGTACATGTCAAAATGATAACTGCCATATATTATATTGGTAATTCATTATTTCGTAAACAGCACTAGTATTTCAATTAACCAAGTTTTCCGTGTCTTCTTAGCTTAAGAAGGCTTTTCATCTACATGTAATTAAACATGCTGCATCGAATCCTGGGAATTATTTGTAATTATATTGCTCACTTCAAATTCTGGAGGGAAACTTCCTTTGTGTGGAGTTAGTGTGGGGTTCGTTTCATTTCTCGGCCTTAATATTGATTGAATGAAAGAACATCATTCAATTCTCTTTTATTCAAATCTAAAAAATAAAGAAAGAAATAAATAAAAGACAAATGTCGACAAACTTTGAAAACAAACTTTCCAAAATAATGGAGCGAGGACTCACTAATATTGAAAAATTGTGTTATACTATGAGACAATGGTCTTTTTATCCTCTTTTAACAGTGTGTGTAACTATGCTATTTTAAAGGCAAATAATTTCAGTCTGAGATTTTTGCAAGTTCTGAAGGCTGTACTTAAAGTACACTTTAATGTTAGATGAAGTATTTTAAAAAAAATAATGTTTTAAGTGAGATTTTATGAATTAATTTTTCACTTTAAATTTTGTCTCACTATAGACATTCTGAATAATTCTGATATCCCCAGTAATCAAATACCTAAATTTAATTGAATCCTGAACTTTAAAAAATCTTTAGGAGATACACAGCGGGATCTAGCAAAGTTTAACTCATTACACCCAATATAAAAATATTTTAGAAGAAAATGACAGAATTAAGTTCAGCACAAATCTTGAAAATTGAGTGAAAGACAAATGAATCCACATCAAATCACACCTCTAATCTTGATGAACATTCTTCAAACTGGCCTGCCTATAATACGAAAGTGCAATTCCTATAACAGTTCTAGATCTTATGCCATCAATTTTCAAGGAGTTCATCATAATATATTTAAGGAAACTAATCAAGCTATATTCTTCAATCCAACAAAAATATTGATAATACGCATGAACGTAGAGAATTTTTCACTCACATGGAGACGCCACCACTTGCCGTTGGAGGCCTGCAAATACTGTGCCGGTGGAGGGTTGTACTATACTTGTGACCATTGAGCTGTGAGGGATCTTTTTGGACCAATACCTTCTGCGACACAGGACCTCTGTTTATAAATACGGTCTCATCAGAAGGACCTTTCCCCACTCCCCGCAGTGGATTCAAACCCGCGACGTAAGAATCAACTTATTCCGCGACTCTAGAGCATCTAGCGCATGAGTTAACAAATGATATATACATGTATTGATATGACAAGAAAAGACAGACAGATAAAAATTACTCCTGGTGTCATGTGCAAAAATGCATTTTATAACATAAAATATTTTTAAAACAGATTTTAGTTTCAGATTTTATATCGGTAGAAGTATATGAAATCATCAATAGTTTCTCATTTATATAAACTTTATCATAAATGCATATAATCATGGCAATTATCCGTTATTTCAGAAATGTATTCTTCATTTATTTTGGAAGGAGCTTTTTGATGATACTGGTACTTTCTTAATTATTTATTTTCTCTTTTCGTTCGTCTAATTCAGGATAACGTTTCCTTAGTAAGATACACGGCATTATGTGTGTCTTAGAAGAATTCCAGTGAAGGTCGACTGGATGTTTCCCTCGCCAGTACTCCCGCCATAGACATATTCATTGGAACCGTAAATTTGTATCCAGACATGGTCATCTTTGTTCACGTTAGTAATCACCATCGCTGAACTGGAGTCTGGTCCTCCTGGGTGAGGGACATAACTTGAAGCGCGAGATGTTCCTCCGACAATCAGCTGGGTATAAAAGTCAGTGCTTCCTGTAGCTATGGTCCAATGGAACATGTAGATGCCTGTCTGAGGAGCAATAAAGATCCCGTCTTCTGTGTGGTAATGGCTTCCGATGTTGATGTACGTCTGTTCAAATCTTATGATTGTCCGAGTGCAGATACCGCTAGTATGTGAGGATTTGTATGCAGAAAAAAGCACAGGATCTGATTGATCGGCCAGGACACCTGTTTAAAAATAATTGGTAATTTAATTAAGGTATCCGATCCACAATAGCCTCAGATTCAATGAATCCTAGTGCATATTAGGTATATATTGGCTGAATACTAGGTATAATTACGTTAACATAAACTTCACATTTAGTCTCAATATGTAAGAACTGAACCTGTCCTAATTTTTTACTTTGACCCGTCCTTGAAGAGTTATCCATCTTTGCTTTTAATCAATAGAATTAATTTTTTTAATCCATCTGGTGAAAAATTATTTTTCTATTTTTAAAAAATTATATATATCATTCCACCATAGCATTTTTTGATAATCATAGTATTAAATACATCTTTCCACCATAGTATTTTTTGATATTCATAGTATTTAATTTTTTATTTAAAAAAAATTGATTGTTCCCATAAACCTCAGTGCTCGGGTAATTATATTTTTTTAAAATTTCTCCTGGTAAATCTTTTTTCTATTATTAACTGCTTTAAAACAGTTACAGAGAATTTAATACAGGATGGATATTTAAGGTTAGAAAATTATGTCCTTTATATGGGTCGAATACCTTAATTACAACTTGCAAGTCTAAAGCTTTCAATTATCGATGTGGTGCTGCTGTTTTGCAGAATTTTCTCTTAAGTTAAGTTGGTTGCCGTAGTCTAGAGTTTTAAAATGAAATACGTCTTATGATCTACCCCTGTATCAGATATTAAGTTATTATACAGAAGCGTTTGGTTTTAATGAATCTTTTTAAAATGCAAGAAATTCACATTACTGCAGTACCGAAATAAATTGAATTCAAAATGATTTCCCTGGTTTATAAAAGACAAGATTCACTCTAAAAAAAATCTTACTAGATCTGATAGCAAGGACATCCATTGAGGACACATCGGCATCACTTCTCCCTGTCAGTAGCTGTCCTAATACTCTCTCTGTGGCGTTCAGTCGTTGTTCTGTCGACTGTTCCAGTCTAGATAAGCGCTCTTCAACGCTGGTCAAATGCCGGCCTTTCAGGAAGGTGGTCAGTTCAGCAGTTGAGACAAATACAAAGAGAAGAGGCAAATGATAAAGGAACATCCTAAAGTGTTATTCTAAGTTTAGCCCTGTTAACTTGTTTTGGCTCTGTAGCTCGGGGATGCTATATAAAACGTTCACTCTTTGAATGCTTTTATAAATCTTCACATTTTAGCTTGCCTGTTTGAATAATATTTTTGGGTTTACTTTGATTTTTGAGTCAAATTAAAGGAAAAGGAATTTAAAGTTATATCTTGGGTTATGTATCTTCAGTTATCATTGTAGCGTTCATATACATGTACTTATTAAAAAAATAAAATCAGTTTCTGAAAACCCCTTTTCCTAAAAGAAAAAAAAAAGAGTAGTTCAAACGCAAACGTTTTTTTGTTCGAAGGTTATAGTGTCAGAATTGAAGCAGGAACTATGATTTTTTTTTTTTTTTTTTTTTTTTTTTTGACAAATTCTTAACATTGTTTTTTTTTATGCAGGCGACTGAAAAAGGTAAAACATATTATGAAACATTGTTTAAGTATGAGTAGAAGTTAAATGGGTGTATCAAGATTTCTCCATCTCCTTAACTTCATAAATCGTTTCAGGTGATAAATAAATGTTTCCTCAAATTCTTTTTGATGTTGATAATGAATGCGTATATTGCTCATCTCAAATATTGATGATACCTTCCTAAGTGTAGAATTCTCCGCATGTTTAGGAGGCCCAATGAATTTTATCAGAATTGTTTTATGGAGAGAACGATCAAAAACATTTATGACTGCTGTTCAATCCACTTTATTGATGTGAATAAATATATTTGTAAACAATTTAATCAGAAAAAGCAGCACCTTCAGGTTGTGTGAAAGAGATGGAATTCCACTTTATGTATAGAAGTTAACTGAACACTTTGAGATTAATAGATCTTTTTTCAGCATTATCAAGTCGTTCATAAATTCCGATTTAATCTTAGATCTCGTGGAAAATATATGAGTGTTATTTTTTCATATAAAAAAAAGCAACAACTTCTGTAAGATTTCGATAAATCGGATTCTATACAAAATGTGTTCCGAAAACACTGATTCCCTAGTATGGCAGAACAAGGCCAATGATGAACTTCTTCATATGTCAAACTCCAAGGTTAAGGGAAAGAGTTCAACTCAACAATGTTGGTTTGCTAATATTGGACTTTTACGAGGAGCGCTGACTTTTACAGTTGACGCTTACTTTTACACTAGGGCTATGTACGGTAGCTCTTTTATGATATAAATATTTAGCTCAACATTTAATTAAACGGAAATAACGGTTATTTCAATGCACATATAAGTTGTCCTTGAAGAAAACGACAACGACCCTACCCTCAGCTCCCGGACTTCACAAGTTAGTGCCCCTAACACCATACCTATGACCACAAGAAAGGTTTTCTTATGCATTATCAATTCTGTACTTCTGTACGTGATACAAGTTTAAATGTCCAAGTAAACGTCGACTGTAGAAGTCATTGCTTCTCGTAAAAGTCCAATATGAAAGTCCAAAGACCAAGCATTCAGTAAATATGTATGGCTGAAGTAAATATTTTCAATAGTTGTTCATACTCCAAAGTCAAGGTCATGGGGGTAAAAAACAGGTACCACTGGCTAAAATTTCACCGTAAGGAATAAATATGATGTGAATCCCTAGGACCAACTGTTAAAAAGTTTAAAGGCGAGGATAAAGTTTTCAAGATGTAGGTCAAACTCAAAAGTTAAAGCCAGTTTTAAAAAAATGTATTTAAAAAATAATATTAGTACCCAAAGAAAGAATTTGTCATATGAATCCCCTAGTATTTAGCAATCAGGTCACATCAGGTTACATTGCAGAAGAGGATTATAAAAAAGCGTAAACTGGTCCAAACAAGGTTAATCCCGAAAAATTTGACCAAGAATTAGAGTCTTTCCTTGTAATTTGATTTCAAAAACAATCGTGGCTGTAAAATTGCGTTGCTTTTTATGAGTTTAATTAAGCTCAATAATATAACCTTAGTAAGGATGGGAAGCGAGGGTGTGTGTGTGTGGGGGGGGGGGGGGTAATAACTGATACATAGATCTATAGCAACCATTATGTTTGTTAACATGTTGTAAGATCGAGTTATTGTTTGAAATTAAAGGTTCATTTTTTAATTCTATAATTTTCAATGAAATGAGAGAATCGCATGGATAAAGATGATTCAGCCGGTTGTCAAGAAGGGGGGGGGGGCTTGTCCCCATACCGAACCAGATTATACAGAAATAATTTGCGTTCTTTTCTGGATATTAACCAATGAGAGACTAGAATACAAACAAAATTAAAATATATATATTTAGATGAACTTATTGGCAAGTTATATTTTTTTTTACTGATTTAAATCTCAATTTTGACGATTTAAAGAAGCTTTTCCCCTTAAGTCAACATTCATTGATAAAAATTTCTAAAAGAAAGGGAGATCCAGATCTCTGGAGGAAGGAATTGAGCCAATAAGCATAGGTATTAAGATTTACAGAGCGTGTGATTAAAGAATTTGAAAATTAATTCATAAACATGCAGTAATAGCAAGCTAGTATGCCGTTATAAGAACAGGACATGCGTGTTCTTCACTTCTGCTGAATCCAGCTAGAACGAATAAAAAATCAGTGTGCCAAACAATAAAAAGGGAAATCCTTAACAAGAAATGAAGTGTAATTAACTTTTGGTTATCGAGTAGAAGGCTACAACAATTGTTTTCTCTCATGTTTAAGTTTTTGTTTAAAGTTTTAGGAATACAAAGATACGCCGTTAGCTCACCTGAGCTGAAAGCTCAAGTGAGCTTTTCTGATCACATTTTGTCCGGCGTCCGTCTGTATGTCCGTCTATCTGTCTGTCTGTAAACTTTTCACATTTTCGGCTTCTTCTCAAGAACCGCTGGGCCAATTTCAACCAAACTTGCCACAAAGCATTCTTGGATAAAGGGCATTCAAGTTTGTTCAAATGAAGGGCCATGCCCTCATTCAAGGGGAGATAATTGGGAATTAATGAAAATTTGGTGGTATGTTTTAAAAATCTTCTCAAAACCACTGTGCCAGGAAAGCTGAAACTTATGTGGAAGCATCCTGGGATAGTGTAGATTTAATTTTGTTCAAATCATGACACCTGGGGGTAGGGCGGGGCCAAAATGGTCGACCAAAGTTTTACATAGAAATTTATAGTAAAATTCTTTAAAAATCTTCTTTTCAAGAATGACAAATCCATAATTCATCATATTTATATGGAAGCATCCTCAGGTAGTGTAGATTCAAGTTTGTTCAAATGATGTCCCCGGGGGGTAGGACGGGGCCAATATAGCCGACCAAAGTTTTACATAGAAATGTATAGGAAAATTCTTTAAAAATCTTCTTTTCAAGAATGACAAAGCCATAATTCACCATATTTATATGGAAGCATCCTCAGGTAGTGTAGATTCAATTTGTTCAAATCATGACCCCTGGGGATAGGGCGGGGCCAAAATGACTGATCAAAGTTTGACATAGAAATATATAGGAAAATGCTCTTAAAATGTTCTTTTCAAGAATTGCAAAGCCATTATTGATCATATTCATATGAATGCATCCTCAGGTAGTGTAAATTCAAGTTTGTTCAAATCATGACCCCCTGGGTTAGGGCGGGTCCGTGACAATGGCCGACCAAGGTTTCACATAAATATATATAGGAAAATTCTTTATAAATCATCTTCTCAAGAATAGCAAATCCATGATTGGTCTTGGGACTACATTTGGATTTAAACTTTTCGATAATAAACCAATTTCTATCTACTTTTTCCTATCCACAGTGCTCAGGAGAGCGATGTGGCCCATGGGCCTCTTGTTAGTTTACTTATTTTTTTTCATTTCTTTAATCTATTTACGATATATTGATTCATGTATACCGGGTTTATACCATTTTTTAAAATTATCTTTTAAGCTAGATCGTTAGATAATCAATTCTCAGTCAATCTTATCATCGATAGAGATAATCTGCGAATAGGCAAAGACAGTGACCGAGCTATAAAACTTTTACTGACATACTATATTTATATTATAATTGACAACAAAACCGCGACACACTATTTATAGGGAGACTGTAATTAGTGCTGGCCATTCGCTATGTACCTTACTATATACATGTATTAACTTACACAAGTTTATGAGCAAAACATTTAAATTTTTGGCTAAAGGGTTTTCTTAAAAAATCTTACATTTCTTAATCTTAAAGTTTTTTTTATTAATGGTGGATGCATAGACACTTTCAAACCCCAGGGTTATGAATATACTTTTTTTCTTGTATTTCTTAAAAATACAGATGATTAAAGTAAAATCAGGGTTATTATTCTCTTGAAAAGTTGAATTCAGTAGTCACGTTTTTACCCTAAATATTACTTCATTCCACTTCTGAGCACAGCTGCAGCTAGCACCGTTTTTAAAATCAGAGGCCAACCTAAAAAAAAAACATTGACGCACAAAATGAAAAAAGAAAAACTGTAAACTCCATAATTAAACTCGAAAATCCTATTTCGAATAGGGGTAGTCCGAAAAATCTGATATTTCAAAATCGTAAAAAGCCAGGAAAACGTCAGATTTTTTCGGACTAGAATAGGGAAAGAGAGAGAGAGAGAGAGTTGAACTTGTATCTAACTCTTTGGTACATATTTTTTCAAAGCTAGAATTTGCCATTGTTTGCTCTCAAAACAACAAAAAGGGAAATCAGCATCTTAATGAAAATATACATATTTTAAAAACTGCAGCCATTAAATGACTGTACGTGTTTGGGGGAGCTCCCTCCGTTTCCAAACGCGCCCTACGGACCTGAAAACAAAGTACATGTATGACTGTTCTGCCAGCGACCCTTCTTTTTCTTCTATTGTGTTTTAAATGATTTTTTACAACTAAAGGAAAGGTTTTTTTCTAATTTATGCAGAAAATATTTTCTATTAATAGATAATTTGTCAACGGCATAGAATTTCAAATTGGTCACGTTTGGAAGAAAATGGAGATTTCATAATATAGTGGGAATGCTTATTGCAAAGGTACAAACGATTTTGGTAACAATTTTTCAATTTATACACTTCAATCTGTAAAATTTACATTTTGATCTGTAAAATTTACAGTTTAATCTA